TGACCAATAATATCCAGTTTTCCCAATAGGAAGACAGTTGTTGCTGAAGCATAGTCTCAGTTTGCGTACCAGCACCAAGCAGCGATCTGAAATAACTGCATAGGGGCCAGCTTCCTATCACCAAGCTACCTTTTATTTACATGTACACAGTACATTGGCTGTGGTCAGCCAGCCCAGAGTCAGTACCCAACTGAGGAGCTTCTAATTCCCCTGGTTATATTGGTCCGCCAAGGCTTTCCTGATTGGCCCTGGTTAACAACACCAATCCAGAACCTTGCAATCGACATGGTCCACCTGGTCCTAATCACTACAGATCACAATGCACCTGACTCCGAGGGATTTGCTTGTGAGGTTGAAGTGGAAAATGGGAAATTATCCAGGATTGAGAAGCACCCCCAAAAAAGGGTCGCCAATTCTGAGTTAACATCAGACTGCAGATAACTGCAACTCACATACATTAATAGTCAGCCAGGAAAGGTTGGAAGAATTAAAGCTGCTCTAATTCCTGACTAATTATTAAATTGATAAGCCAATCATTGACTACCTCCCTAAAACCCAATGAACAACCAAGCCTCTATCGCCCCACCATCCAACTCCTCTTCCCCCTCTCACTGGCAACCATAAATACATCCCACTATGCGCCAACTTGACTCAACGTGTGATATGCCAGGGCCACCCCAAATGAGACAGCTCAAACTGACCGTCACATTTTCAAATGTCCCATTGACTGAACAAAACCCCCTTCTCCTAGCAACAGATTTTAAATTTCTCTCAATCACTATTGAAGTGGCTTTCAAACCATGCAATATGGCAGCCACTATCACAAAGGGGAGCATGGTTTCAGCACATATCTGCCTCACTGCTGCCTCCATGGGTTGCTGGACTGGACAGGACTGCTTTGCCTTGGAAAGATTCCTGTGTGGGGAATTCAGCTAGAAAGGGGGCAGTACAGTGGCTCAGTGGTTAGCACTGCTGCTTCACAGTGCTGAGGACCCGGGTTCAATTCCAACCTTGGGCGACTGCTTGCACATCCTCCTCATGCCTACACGGGTTTCTGCTGGGTGCTCTGGTTTCTTCTCACAGTCCCAAGATGTGCAGGTTAGGTAGAAAAGCCATGCTAAATGTGGGGTTACAGGGATGGGGTAGACAGCTGGGTCTGCGTGGGATGCTCTTTGGAGGGTCAATGCAATCTCAATCAGGCCAAATGGCCTCTTTCCATACTGTAGGGATTCTATGAATACTGCACTAAATGGTAAGTGGGCAATTTGTTGTCTAATCGGGGTCAGGAAGATTCCAACAACTTGGCCTTTCTTGTGACAGGTTGAGAAGTTCAAAGTCAAGATATTGCTGGATTGTCGTTGAGTGAGCAGATCTCAGTACCACGTATAATACATGCACTAGAACCTTAGGTGAACTCACGTTTATGAAAGTATAAGATGTGAGTGAAGATGATTCAACCATTCTCCTCACTGTACCCTTTATACAAGGAGCTGTCAGAATTTTCTCCTCTCTGTCCCAACGAGGCTAGCAACATACGGTAATGGAGGAGGCCATTCAGCTCCTGAACCTCTTCTACAATTCACCCAGAATGTAACTGAACCTAACCCTAAAAACTACCTTCAACTTCACAGTCCTTAATAACACGATGTGCAAAGCATCTACCAATCTGGGATCAATTAGCTTTTTGTCTGCTCATCCATGGGTCATGGGTGTTGTTGGCTGGGCCAGCATCTATGGTTTGTCCCTAGCAGCTCTTGAGAATATATAAATTAGCTTCAAATATTAAAGAAGGTTCCTTGCCTTGAGCAACCGATGTGTGAGTCCTCACTAACCTCACAACTCAGAATTATCATTGACTGACTCAGAACTCATTGATGAAACCAGCCTGTATGGCTTGGGAGAATACCAAGTAGTGTCAATATCCACGAAGCCATGGGGTAGTTGATTATGGATTTTTCAAAAAAAAACACAGTTCAATTTATAAATGTTTTAAAAGCAAACTGAAATGTTTTTGTTAATTCATTTTGGATGCAGCTAAGTAGTGCAAATGTTTCCATTCTGCCCCTGGCAATGCAAAAATCCATTTCACTGAATGGACACCACTAATACTTCCTGATTCTCATAAACCGCATTCTGATTATTGATTCTCATGAAAAAAAGGTGTCTGCCTGGGAGTCCAGGGAATACTGTTTTTCAATCAGATCTGCCAAACGTCCTCGGTGTTCACCAAATAAGTGATGGGGGTTGGGGGCAGAGGGAGAGAGGGAGAAAGGTTAGGAACATTCCTTTATAATCTCAGGAGCTGTCAGTGTATTCTGTAACTGAATTTAATATACTTTGTAGAATTGAGGCACCCACTGCTGCTCTTTGTCTCCCATCGATAAGCAGGAAAAGAAAAAGACTCTCTAACACTGAATGCTTGGACAGCCAGAGCTGTGGAAAGCTACCTTTAAAAATAGCCCACTGCTTTCCTCCAGATGTGTCCATTACTGCACAACTAGGAATGACTTTAAGCTGTGATATGCCTTTCTCTTTATGTATTGTGTGGGTTACTCTGAAAGTCTGGTGGACCAAACTGTGCCCATTACAAACTTGAAACCTGCTAATTAGTATTATTTTCAGTTCCATTGCTATTTTGAGATGTGAATAGTGAGTTTTCTGTGTTCTATGATTTTGGTTTCACCTTTTACTGATATGACTGTCTCAGTGCTATCTATAGTTCCTGTTTGACTTGCATTGCTATTGAAGTGTATTAATTGTAATATGAAACAGTTATTGTCTCCTAATGGCTGCTACCTGTGGAATATCTATGAATGATATCGGATTGCTTTCACGTTCTGTACCAGTCTCCCCTCACTCCTCACCACTACCACCCCCAACAACCTGTTCAACCTTATTTCATAAATGGTTGCACAGAATGACACCGCAATTCCTGGCTGGGGTGGAGACAATGGGTCATTTCCCTTGTCAGTCGTGCCTGAAGACCACACTGGGATTGATTTTATGTACATAATTGATAATGTGTAATCATTCCCTAATCCATTGCAATTTGGTAAAGAGACAATTTCCCTGCGGTTGCACGGGAGTACAGAGCTAGCCTAATTCTACACACCGAGAAATGCTGCCAACTCTTTGTGTCTTGTGCTCACTAGGACAGATGCAAGAATACCAAATTTCAAACTTCATGTAATAGCAAAATCCTGCAGATTCTGGAAATCTGAAACAAAGATAGAAAGTGCTGGAGAGACTCAGCAGGTCTGGCAGCATCTATGGAGACAGAAACAGAGTTAACGTTTTGAGTCCGATATGAGTCTTCTCCGGACCTGACAACAATAAGATCAACTAGTGTATTGGACTTGAAATGTTAACTGTTTCCCCACAAATGCTGCCAGATCTGCAAAGTTCCTCCAGCACTGTCTGTCTTTGTCTCAGATTCCATTTGCCGCTTGCTTTGAAAGTTGTCAACCTCACACCTGTCCTGATGAGTGAAAGATGGCCCAGGAGGTGGTAGAAGCAAATCTGACAGCAACATTTAAGAGACATTTGAACAGACACATGAACAGGCAGAGAATAGATAGATACAACCCATGTGCAGGCAGATGGGATTAGTTTAGGATGTCATCATGGTTGGCACAGATATGGTGGGCCTAAAGGCCTGTTCCTGTGCTGTACCGTTCTGCGTTCCTACAGTGTGTCTCTTTTCTTCTCCAATACTCAAGTTCACATTTTAAAAAAAAAATCATCCACACAATGTGGGCCTTGCCAAGCAGGTTTGCATTTATCGCCTAAGTCTAATTGCCCAATGGCAGTTAGGAGTCAACCACACTGCTGTGTGTATGGAGTCACATGTAGGACGTTAGTGAAACAGATAGCTTTTCCTGACATTTGACCACAATTTCATGGTCATCATTCGAATCTTACTTCCAGGTTTTTCTTGCATTCAAATTCCACTACCTGCTGTGGCACCTGAGTCCCTTGATTACCAATCTCACAGTAATATCACGAGGCCATCGCCTTCCGAGGTGTCTTGATTTGCTGTAAACTATGTGAGTTCCTTTGTATTCCTCTTTTGTATCTAAGATCCGTACCTAGGTACTCGTACCTAAGATGGCACCATAAGAGGTGACATTGTGAAACTTTTCACTGTACTCCTGTAATTCTGTACTTGAGTACACATGTTAATAACAGATGTTCTATTCTTATCTCAGCTCAGTTGTTACTCTCCTACCACAGACCTGAAATGAACCTAATCATTTCAATTCCTAACTCCTTAGAATATAGAACATAGAACAGTACAGCACAGTACAGGCCCTTCGGCCCACGATGTTGTGCCGAACTTTTACCCTAAACCTAAGGTCTATCTAACCTCCACCCCTACCTTATACTATCATCCATATGCCTATCTAATAGCCGCTTAAATGCCCCTAATGAGGCCGACTCCACTACCCTCTCCGGCAATGCATTCCACGCCCCTACCACTCTCTGAGTAAAGAACCTACGTCTGACGTCTCCCCTGTATTTACCTCCACTCACTTTAAAACTATGCCCCCTCGTAATAGCTACCTCCACCCACTCCACCTTAACTCATCTTAATAGCTGAGATGGTATTGTCGACATTTAGGCTGTTGTATATTTTTTCACTCATTTTCCTTTCTTTCTGTTTAAACGCTCACTATTAAGGCATGATATGGAGGTGCTGGTGTTGGACAGGGGTGGACAAAGTCAGAAATCACAGACCTGCACCTGATGAAGGGGCTGCGCTCGGAAAGCTTGTGATTCCAAATAAACCTGTTGGACGATAACCTGGTGCCCTGTGACTTCTGACTGTCTCACTCTTAGGACATATCAGATGGGATACATTGCATTGTTTTCTGGAGTTTTGATGAAGACTTAGCAACTTGCCACAAAGGTGGATTTAAAACTTTTTTTTTATCCGGACTGGGTAAATTCACTGAGCCATTGCAGGAAAGTTGATTTCCATCAAAACCATTGAACCGACTTGCAATAACCAAGGAGCGGTGTTAGCTGTCACCTTGATGTTTCTGCTGACATTCTTCCATTGATCGTGTCCTTTCAAAGCTTTCCTAAGACCTTGACTGATGGCCTTTTGTGCAGCTTTATGAATTTTTGCTCCTTTTTCCCACACCTTCAGAAAAAAAAATTAGTTATCGTTAATTAAAAGCGTCACCATCCTCTATATAAGCGTTCAGATCAGTTTAAAAGGGGATCATTACAACAACAACTTATACTTAGGCGGTACCTTTTTTTTAAGAAACCCAAGTGGTCATTTATGGGATGTGGGTGTTGCTGGCTGGGACAACATTTATTGCCTATCACAATGCAGCAAAATGTCCCAAAAGCACTTCACAGGGGTATTGTCAAAATCAGTGAACTTCATATGGAAATCATAGAATCCCTACGGTGTGGAAACAGGCCTTTCGGCCAAACAAGTCCACACCTACTCTCAGACCATCCCATCCAGACCCATCCCCCTATAGCCCACCTAAACCTACACATCCTTGAACACTAAGGGGAATTTAGCATGGCCAATCCTCCTAGCCTGCACATCTTTGGACTGTGGGAGGAAACCGGAGCACCCGGAGGAAACCCACGCAGACACAGGGAGAATGTCCAAACTCCACACAGACAGTCGCCCCAGGGTGGAATCGAGCCCGAGTCCCTGGCGCTGTAGTGCTAACCACTGAGCCATCATGCCACCCACAGAAATGTTAAAGAAAAAGTTAGTCAAGGGGGAATAGAATGGTTGAACAACCTGAGGGCTTAAGGGACAGAATTCCAGGGCTCAGTGGCTAAGCAAGTGGGGTGCTGTTCAATTGGTTGAATGGTGAAAACTGGAGTCCCCATCAGGTAGATGGGAACAGTAGCAAGATATGCAATACTGAAGAGAGATTTCAAAGGAGTACCATTTCTAAGATAACAGATAAATTGCATTAGAATAAAATGCCTCATAATCTGGGAAGATACCAGGGTGACTTCGATTAGGTTCATTTCAGCTCTCTGTTGGGAGAGTAACAACTAAGCTGAGATTAGAATAGAATATTAGAATAGAATATCTGTTAATGACATGTGTACTCAAGTACAAGAGTACAGTGAAAAGTTTTACAACGTCATCTCTTATAACTCCATCTTAGGTACAAGTACCTAGGTATGAATCTTGGTTACAAAAGAGGAATAAAAAGGAAAAGTAGTTGCATTACTTTACAGTTTAAAGAATAAGTTAGAAATAAGACATAGGTAAACCGATTGACATTACAGTCGGATAAACAAATTACAAATAAACATTACATTGCAGTTGCTCAGCACAGGGTCTTCCATACATAGTGTGGCCATCCGCACCAGACCCCAGTCCAACAACCATCTCCCATCTGCTCCAAGTCTCCAGTCTGCTCCGCACTGGCTCTCAGCTGCTACAACTTATGTTTTCCCCATGATTCCTTCACCTCGCTGGCCTCTACCGGGGACTCACTCCCCAGGATGGCTCCTGCTCTGGGACTGCCCCCCTTCACCATCTCCTGCTCTGAGACTGCATCTCTTCACCACCTCCTGCTCCAGGACTGCTTCCCTTCACCACCTCCTGCTCCAGGACTGCTTCCCTTCACCACCTCCTTCTCCAGGACTGCTCCCCTTCACCATTTCCTGCTCTGGGTCTGCTTCCCCTTCACCATCTCCCGCTCCAGGTCTGCTCCCCTTCACCATCTCCTGCTCCAGGACTGCTTCCCCTTCACCATCTCCCGCTCCAGGTCTGCTCCCCTTCACCATCTCCTGCTCCAGGACTGCTTCCCTTCACCATCTCCAGCTCCAGGACTGCTTCCCTTCACCATCTCCTGCTCCAGGTCTGCTCCCTCTCACCATCTCCTGCTCTGGGACTCCTTCCCCTCACCATCTCCTGCGCCAGAACTGCTTCCCCTCACCATCTCCTGCGCCGGGATTCCTTCCCCTCACCATCTTCTCCTGCTCCGGGACTCCTTCCCCTCACCATCTCCTGTTCCGGGACTCCTTCCCCTCACCATCTCCTGCTCTGGGACTCTTCCCCTCACCACCCTCTGCTCCAGAACACATTCCCCCACACCGGCCACTGCTCTGGGACTGCGTTCCCACTTCGGGATTTGCCACTGGGGCTCACCAGCTCCTCCATTCCCCTAACACAGATAGGAGACAAAAGGAAGGGACATGAAACAAAGAAGAAATTAAAAGAAGAGGCTGTGAATTGGGAGAAAGATACAGGAAAAAATATAGAGATAGTAGGAGCTGCAGATGCTGGAGAATCTGAGATAACAAGGTGTAGAGCCGGATGAACACAGCAGGCCAAGCAGCATCAGAGGAGCAGGAAAGCTGATGTTTCGGGCGTAGACCCTTCTTCAGAAATAGATGGGTTGGCAAATTGCAATAACAAAGGATAAAGAAAGGGAGAGAGGTAAAGATGTTCCAGAGGTAAACAGGGGCAAATCATTGAGGCAGTTTGGCCATTATCATTTAAGATTTGAAGCCCGGGAAGCTAAATATGATGTGAGTAATAACCGAAAGAACTGCGGATGCTGTAAATCAGAAACAAAAACACAAGTTGCTGGAAAAGCTCAGCAGGCCTGGCAGCATCTGTGAAGAAAAAATCAGAGTTAACATTTCAGGTCAGGTGACCCTTCTTCAGAAATATAATGTGGCTCTAAGGTTTTGGAGTAGATCTGTAGCTCGGGTTGTGGGTGTTGAGGTTGGTTGGCTCGCCGAGCTGGTTTGTTGTTCCGCAGACATTTCGTTACCGTGCTTGGTAAAATCGTCAGTGCAGCCTCTGATGAAGCGTCGGTGTGTTTTCCCACCTGGTTTTTAAACTCTGGGGTCCGTTGCGATGGATTGCCTCACTTCCGGGTTTCCTCCGTAGTGGAATGTATATGGGGTCGAGTTCAATGTGTTTATTAATAGCATACTTCGTGGAATGCATTGCCAGAGAGGGTGGTGGAGTCGGCATCATCAGGGGCATTTAAGCGGCTATTAGATAGGCATATGGATGACAGTATAAGGTAGCGGTGGAGGTTAGATAGACCTTAGGTTTAGGGTAAAAGTTCGGCACAACATCGTGGGCCGAAGGGCCTGTACTGTGCCGTACAGTTCTACTGGTCTATGCTTTGTGAAGTGCCATACTTCCAGGAATTCTCCTGCTAGTCTCTGCCTAGCCTGTCCCAGGATCTCGGTGTTGTCCCAGTCGAAGTCGTGGTTCTCCTTGTCCATGTGGATTGAGATGAGTGAGTGTTGGTTGTGTCTTTTTGTAGCCAGTTGGTGTTCATGTACTCTTGTTGTTAGTTTCCTTCCCGTTTGTCCGATGTAGTGTTTCTCGCAGTCTCTGCAGGGGATCTTGTAGAAGATATTAGTCCTGTCCATGGCGGGGAGTGGGTCTTTAGTTCAGGTGAGCACTTGTCGTAGGGTTGACGTGGATTTGTGTGCCACTCTGATGCTCAGCGGTCGTAGAAGTCTTGTGGTGAGTTCTGACGTGTTCCTGATGTAGGGTAGTGTGATGAGTGTATCGGGGCGTGTAGAATCTTTCTGATGCTGTTCCTGCAGGCATCTCCTGACCCAGTTCTTTGGATATCCATTATCCTTGAACACTTGGAAGAGGTATTCCTCCTCCTCTTGGCGTAGTTCCATGTTGCTGCAGTGTGTTGTTGCCCTTTTAAATAGTGTTCAAACAGTAAGCGAAGCGAAGTAGTAAGGAACAGCATCAGAAAGATTCTACACGCCCCGACACACTCATCACACTACCCTACATCAGGAACACGTCAGAACTCACCACAAGACTTCTACGACCGCTGAGCATCAGAGTGGCACACAAGCCCAAATCAACCCTACGACAAGTGCTCACCCGAACTAAAGACCCACTCCCCGCCATGGACAGGACTAATATCTTCTACAAGATCCCCTGCAGAAACTGTGAGAAACACTACATCGGACAAACGGGAAGGAAACTAACAACAAGAGTACATGAACACCAACTGGCTACAAAAAGACACAACCAACACTCACTCATCTCAATCCACATGGACAAGGAGAACCATGACTTCGACTGGGACAACACCAAGATCCTGGGACAGGCTAGGCAGAGACTAGCATGAGAATTGCTGGAAGCATGGCACTCCACAAAGCAGGCTATTAGTAAACACATTGAACTCGACCCCATATACATTCCACTACGAAGGAAACCCGGAAGTGAGGCAATCCATCGCAACGGGCCCCAGAGTTTAAAAACCAGGCAGGAAAACACACCGACGCTTCATCAGAGGCTGCACTGACGATGTTACCAAGCACGGTAACGAAACGTCTGCGGAACAACAAACCAGCTCGGCGAGCCAACCAACCTCAATATAAAAGATAGTAGGAACTGCAGCTGCTGGAGAATTGGAGACAACGAGATGCAGGGCTGGATGAACACAGCAGGTCAAGCAGCATCATAGGAGCAGAAAGGCTGAAGTTTCAGGCCTAGACCCTTCATCAGAAAAGGAGGAGGGGAAGGGGGTTCTGTATTAAATAGGGAGAGAGTGGGAGGCGGATAGAAGATGGATAGAGGAGAGGATAGGTGGAGAGGAAACAAACAGGTCGAAGAGGCGGGGATGGAGCCAGTAAAGGTGAGTGTAGGTGGGGGAGTTAGGGAGGGGATAGGTCAGTCCAGGGAGGACGGACAGGTCAAGGGGGCGGGGTGAGGTTAGTCGGTAGGAGATGGAGGTGCGGCTTGAGGTGGGAGGAGGGGATAGGTGGGAGGAAGAACAGGTTAGGGAGGCTCGGGGACCGCTTTGCAGAACACCTACGCTCGGTTCGCAATAAACAACTGCACCTCCCAGTCGCGAACCATTTCAACTCCCCCTCCCATTCCTCAGACGACATGTCCATCCTGGGCCTCCTGCAGTGCCACAACGATGCCACCCGAAGGTTGCAGGAACAGCAACTCATATTCCGCTTGGGAACCCTGCAGCCCAATGGTATCAATGTGGACTTCATAAGCTTCAAAATCTCCCCTCCCCCTACCGCATTCCAAAACAAATTCTGTCCATCAACAGCCGAAACCCTTCATTTAGAATTTAGAATGAGCTTTATTGTCACATAAGTACAGTGAAAAGTTTACAAGTTGCTACTTATGGTGCAGTC